CGTGCCACCCTCCTGCTGCAGGAAGGAGGTTTCCAGGCCTGGCCCCAGGGGCCCTACCTTGCTTTCCTTGTCTTTTGGCCAGGATCCAGCCCCCGGCAGGCAGCCCTCTCCACAGCTTGGCTCTGCAGCACCGCCACACCGGGCCTCCCGCAGCTGCCCCAGCACCCCTACACCCAGAGGCACCGCTCGCCCCATCCCCAGGGCACCCTGAGCCTGCAGCCTGCCCAGTGCCTCCAGCACGGACCCAGAGCACTCATCCCTTGAGGTACCAATAGCCCCACTGACCTCCCCCAGCCCCTCAGGAGGATGCTGGTGGGTCCCCCAGTCCCGCCAAGCAGCTGTGATGTACCCCAGCATCAGGAATTCACCAGGGGAACATGATCCCCCTTTCTAAATGGTGGATAAGCCGTGCCCCTGCCCACCACGGCCACGCACATTGTGCCCACCCCGCGGGCAATGCTCCTGTCCCCGGCATGCACACCTCTGTGTCCCGCCTGGTGCCTGCAGCCCCCCAGCTCTGGTACAAGCACTCCAGGACCAGCCACTCGCGGCAGCTTCTCGCAGCCAGAACCGAACGGAGCAGAGCTGCCGGATTGCTCCCTGCCTCCACTCAGCTGCCAGGAGAGCCCGTGCTGAGCAGCGCTGGGAGCCAAGCACCCAGCCCACGCGGGCAGGATGTGCCCCCCTCCAACCCCTGTTTGCCAGCACCTCAAACATCTTGATGCACCCCGGAGCTGGCACTCCCTCCTCCTCCCCCATTGCCCCTTCCCTCCGCACCCAGCCCAAAGGGGACCCGTGCCAGGGTGCAGCACAGCATCCCCCTCCCGCTCTGCTCTTGCACTCCCAAAACCTGGTGCAGGCAACCAGCAGCCCCCAGCCACGGTGAGGAGGAGGAGGAGGAGGCGGAGGAGGGGGCAGCAGCAAGACCCCATCCATTCCGGGGCCATTCAGCCCGGCGGGGGCACCTGCGCCTGGCAGCTGTCATTGTCACTGAGCACAATGGCCTCGCCACCTCCGCGCAGAAGCCAGCACAAAGCGCCCCGTGGGGCGCCCCAGCAATTACAGCCCAGAGAAAGCCAGGCTGGGGGTGTGGAGTGGGGAAACATGATTGATGGTGAGGTTTGAGGAGGGGATGGGGGAACAGGCATTTGGAGGGAGGCGCTGGGAATGGGGAGCAGCAATCAGGAAGGATTCAGCAGAACCCAAAATGATCCTCACCCACTCCTGTCCCCATGGGGCTGGACAACACCCTGGCGTGGGGGAAGCTGCTCGTGCCCATCGCCAGGGTCTGAGGTCCCCCTAGTCCGGGGGGGGGGGGGGGGTGTGGCAGTGGCCTGAGGGTCCCAACCCTTCCCAGCTCCCCAACACAGCACGCTCCTACAGGTGCCCTCCAGCACCCCAACCACCACTGATGGCCAAAAAATAGGCCAGCCTGCCCTGCCCCCCTGCCCCACTAACCCGGTTATCTCTCAGGAGCTGCAGCCCTGGCACTAGACTGACTCTCACTCATTAACTGTGTGCTAATTAGGTACCTGCCCCAGTCTCTGGGGTACAGGCAATGGTTTCCCCACCCCCATCCCAAACCCACATGGGTGCACAGGGGCGTCAAAGTGGAAAACCCGACACAGCCCCCGGCCCGCCCATCCCCCCGGCTGCAGCTGCGGTCACGGCCAGAGGGACAGGGACGGGCAGCACGTGTGCCCTGGCACAGCTTTGAGACAGGGACAGCCCCACCTGGGTGGCGGCAGCAATCGCATCCCAAAATCCTGATCTCCATAGGGAAGAACAGAGCCCATCTGACAAGGAGCCAGGGTGGCAAGCGTGGTCCTGCCCATCTGGACCAAGACAAAGGAATCCTTGGGGAAAACCCTGAACCCTGACACCCCCCCCCCAGCCCTGCCCAGCTCTCCCCCCTCTCTCCTCCCCTCTCCCAGCTCCGCGGACCATTAACCCAGCCGTGTCCTTTGCGCCTGCCCATCCATCACGCCGCCCGCCTCCCCCGGCACGCTGCACGGCATCACCTCCTGCATGGCTAATTGCCGACACCGGGCAGGATGCAGGATGCAGGCAGCGGCCCAGAAGGCGGGGAGGCGGCAGCTCAGCCGTTCCCCGCGCGTAGCCTGTCAGCTGGCGAGGGCAGACCTGCTGACGGCATGGACGCACTTCGGCGCTGGGCTGGGGGCCTGGGGCACGCTCATGTCCCCGTGCTGGCGGCACAGCCCAGCCCTCCACCCTTTTCTCTCGGGTTTCCCAGCATTGACGACTCCCTGTGATATCCCCCCTGCTCCACAGCACGGCAAACCCCTCCGGCACGGCAAATGCTGCGTGCCAAACCCCAGTGGCTGCTGCCGCCCTTCTGGGAGGGTGCTGAGGGCTCGCACACAGCACTAAGCATCCCCAGAACCCTGCCCACAGCCCTGGCTTCCCACCATGCCACCTGTGCAGCACGCTGCGCCCCGGCACAGCCCACGGCACCCACCTGGCAGCCAGGTTGGAGCGGGCAGAGGAAGTACAAGCCTGGTCCAAAGAAGGGGAAACTGAGGCACGTTCCTTGAGCAGCCAGAGGGACTCGGCAAGAGCCCCCCCAGTGCTGCCTGCCCTGGAAATGTCTCCTTCTAAGTGGGAAAACCCCACGGTGACGGCTTGGGAGCATGCAACTTCCGCACCCCTGGGCAAATGCCCTTTGCCCCCTCGTGCCAGTGTGCCAGGCTTGACACAACAGCCAGGCCTGGGCCAGAGAGACGGGGAGCTCTCCCCAGCCCCGAGCTGCCACCAGACCGGGCACACCGCCCCCTCCCCGCTGCCTCCCGCCATGCCTGCGGCATCCAACGCCAGAGCCCGGGGGCACCCCCTCTGCTCCGCAACTGCATCCCCCCATGGTGTTTTCTCACCTGTCCCCCCTGCCTTTGAGGGGGGGCTGGGGCCGGAGCCGACTGCAGGGGGATTTGTGGCACAGCCCCAGGGTGAGGGTCCCCCCGCGCAGCATGGCAGCCCTCTCGCGCCCGCCGGCACCACAGGCACCGCCTTGACTCACACCACCACCTCCTTCCCGCAGCCGGGAGGTGGATGAGAAGGGACCGCTCACACAGCACATTGCCCAGGGCATCCTCCCCCGCATTGTGCCCAGATCCTCACTCCCCAAAACACACACACCCCCCAAAACTTCCTCCTCTCCCCACTTCCCACCCAGCCATTCAGCCCAGGTTATTTCTCCCTGCGCTTCAGGCAGGAGGTGCCTGGCCATTTGACTGTCCCTACCTAGGACACCTACAGTCACCTACTCCTGTTGGGCCAGAAGGCACCGCACCCCCTATTTTTGTAGGTCCTACCAAAATAGCTTCCTCTGAGCAAGCTGCACACACACACACACACACACACACACACACACACAAGCCGCCCTCACGCCAACCGCCAGGAGGCAAAAGGC